CACTTTCTAATTTACAACTTATCTCTCTGCACTTTTTTGTAGTGACCAGAGTTCCCTATTGTAATTCCTCCCCAAGGCTCTACCTGAAAGTTTCACTTCAGCTGCCCTTTTACTTTAACTGTTAGGAGTGTGCAGACAGGAAATCCTCCCTGTTCCGCAGTGACCCTCAAAAAGCAGATTTCCAGCAGGACTGTGCATTAGAGGGAACCTTGAACTGTCTTCCTTAAAGCCCTAGTGCTTGTTCAGTCAGTGCACTGTTCAACACTCCTTATATTCTGTTCCCAGGCATTCCAACCCCATGTGCCCCTAGGCATTTCCATGTGTGGAGGGTTGGGAGGACGTAGTGATGAAGACAGACGATATTGTGTGCCCTGCTACTTGTCCTTGTGCCTGAACTCCTGCTCACCTGGCATCCGACTGTCCTTTTTGGTTTGCTGCTCTAGTTTTGCTGTCGGACAGTAATGTAGTCAGTGGAAAAGCCAAAGAGGCTTTGAAGCATGAAAGGAGAAGTATCTTAGCCGTTGTTCCCCTGCTCCCAAAATACCTCTGGTTTGCTTCATTTGGAGGATCAACTTTCCAGTCTAGTGACCGTGTTTCAGTGTCTGCATTAAACACGTAATTGCTATCGTTTTCACATAAAGTGGATACGGTGTAGGAAAACCTGCTCATGGCTGGAGAAAATTACCGGGAGGCGAATAGCGGTACAGTGAAAATGCAGGCAGGATGGGAAACGGGGGGAAGAGAATGGAGAAGAAAGTAGGAAAGAGCAGAGAAATTCAGTGTAATTTGAAATTTGGCAAGATAACGCCTCATAAAATGAATTCCAGTTATAGAAACTGGATACCCCTTTGGTTGGGTTGTTGGGTTTGGTTTGGTTTTTTTGCCAGCCTTTACCTGACATCATTACGGGAGCTTCCGTTCTCCTTCAAGGGGACACTTCTCTACAGATGTGCATGGACACTAGCGTGGCTACCAGGAGCACACCCGGGATGCAAGTGTGAGATGTCATTCTGCAGACTGACACGGACACACATATGCAAAACCTTTTGTTGGTCTCTCTGCCCGTTTTGTTTCTAGCTGTCCGCTTTATACAATATTGACAACCTGCAACCAAGGGATAGGGAAAGGAGTAGACCATTTTTGTACCTTTTGGTATCCAGAACCTGTGAAACAGATGAAGCTTTGTACGGATGTTCTCTATACAGGGAATTATCCTTTTCACAAAACATCTGCGGTGCATTTGTTCCTCTGCGTTACTCTCTGTGTCGCTTGGTTTTGGTTTGGTCCGGGGTTTTTTTGGCTCTCCAGAAGCATTATTGCCTTCTCACAGCTCGATAGTAATCCTCTTTTCCCCAAGAGGATCAGTAGGCTGGAATAGACTGGACGTGAGTTAATGCTGCCCTAGTTAGCATAAAGCTGGAATTTTCTTGTAAGACTTGATTTGTGGCTGTTCTTCTGTGTCTAGCCATGAGTCCTTCTGGTTTCTTTGGCTCAGTCTGCCTTTGATGGTGATTTGTTGCTTGTTTTGGTGATCCCTCTGCAGAAAGAGAGAATGCCTCAAAGAATCTTTTAGTCTTTGGAGCAGAAAATCCTCTTACCACGACTATTCCAAGTGTAATGGCAGTACGGCTGATGGGGCCTGTATAAGCGGTGTGCTTAATAATAGCCCGTGCTATATAAAAGATGGAAAAGTAAAATTCAGTCTGTTGGTGCAAAAAATACTTCAATTAGTTGTATTAACTGGCCCCTTTTTTAATTTCACAAACTCTCTTGAACTGAACTGATGACTACCAAGTTATTGCAGGATAAGCATTTCGATTATTTTCTAATTCACTTAGTTTCAATGTAATCTCAAAACCAAATTCATGTTAATTAATTCTCACCTTCTGTCACTGTGTAGGTGGACAACAACAACAAAAATATAATTAGAAAAGGAAAGAAAATATAGTAAGCCTATTCCCATATTTTTCATTTCAAATAACTCTGCTTTTGCTCATGGCACATCTGTTTATTTTTTGGCTCTTGCCGTATCTGTTTATTTTTTGGTCTAGTGGAAGGTGTTCCTGCCCATGGCAGAGGGGTTGGAACTAGATGACCTCTGAGGTCCCTGCCAACCCAAACCATTCTGTGATGCTATGATTGTGAAGGTGAATTCTTCTTTCCACAACAAACAGTGTGGTCCAACACCAGGCCTGGTTCCCATTCCTCAAACATCACCTTAATGAGGGCTGAGGTAATTTTATCCTGAAGTGATAACTCATGTGTGTTTCTCTGTGGCAGAGAGTGTCCGATGTAGCCGGTCAGGACTCGTTCTCAGTGGTCATTGATGTGATGCCATGAGCCTCAGTCCCAACCAGGGCTGAGGAGTATCTCCCACTACTTGAGGCTGCGTGTGTCTGCGCATGAATCGAGGGGCAGTGTAGAACTTGTCCTGCCAAGAAAACAGTTTGCTTATTAAACTTCATCTGACAAAAACGATAAATGGATTTTTTTATTTTACCTTCATACGCTTATCACAATTTCTTAAACATTTTCTGAGCATGGGGTCTGGGAGACAGCAGAAAGCCATACAATTTGCATGAAACTAAACCAGGATCTATCTGAGAAAACAATTAGGCTTGGATGAGAGGTTTTCCTTTGCAGGATGTTTCTGGAAAGGAAAGAAAAATAGAACTTACGCTGAAGTGCAGCCTCATATTACAGGCTCTTGTCTGTGATATTGTCTAGAAATTGAATTAACTTCTCTCTTGTGCATATCGTTTAAAATGTAATTTAGGAAAGGCTGCACACGGAAGGTCTAGTGAGTAGAAAGAGTAGCAGAGGTCCTCACACTGGGAGAAGGGAGGACTTTTGACAAGAGAGGAAAGGAGGGGAAGCGGGGGAAGAGCAATGTTAATTTTGGCAGTCGAGCTGACAGAATAGATTTGTCTCCAAGCCCAATAGTTGTAAAAGTAGGCCAAAGGGGTCTACTGAGTAAACAAATGGGAGTTTGTTAGTTCCTTCCAAAAATGGTACTTTCTGACTGTCTGGGCACAACAGAAGACAGAAAAGGAATTTCTTAGTCTTCTAATTACAGAAGACAATTACATATGGTTTTAATGCCACTATCAACATTTTTTTTCCCCCCTTCAGGAACAAAAGATCCATTGTTCATAAAGACGGAGGGCTTGCCCACAGCTCTGGGTGCTATTAAAGGGTATTTTCTAATGTGGAGATCTATTAGGTTTCTTAACTCTGAATTCTGAAATCAGCATGAAATCTCAAGTTTTATAATCCAATATTTTCAGAAGAAAGTTTTGTCACATATTTTTTATTTCATTACATGTAGTTTACTAATAAGAAAACAGAGCAATTAAAATGAGGTGGTTAATTTCTAAAGAATCCTCATGGATGTTTATTGTGTGGTATCTGTCATCCTGTAGTGTTGCACGTGTTTCCTAGACATGTTGCGGGCTTCTGTGACTCCTTGGGGTTACTTTGGTTGTGATGAGAAAATCATCTGATAGTGACCAAAAAAAAAAAAAGTTTAATTCTGAAGTATTATGGGAATGTAACAGCAAAAATTCCCTCATAAACATGCACAAACTAAAGGAAAAATGTCAAATATTTTGGTGGCAGATTTTAAGTCTATAAAAATTATTTTGGAAAATACCATCATCTTTTAATTTGAATTTACTGTCCATACATTTCTGTGGTTATATATATAT